CAGCTTAATAGCCAGCTTGTATATTAACCATTTATACCCAGCTGTGATTTATCCTTTAACAACAAACAATTTGTTGTATATCAAGGACCTTCAGGTAGAAAATAGGGTGTTAAAAGGGGAAAGGAGAGAGGGAGAGGAGAGAGAGAGAGGAGAGAGAGAGAGAGAGAGAGAGAGAGAGAGAGAGAGAGAGAGAGAGAGAGAGACTGCAATGCAAAACTGAACAGAATGCTCAGAGCCACTTCTTATAAGAGAATTCCACAGACCTCTTCTATAGATGCCATTCAATGGGTCAGAAGGAAAACAGATAAACTCCTTTTCAGTATCATAATAGATTTTGGTTTGCTTCTGATGATTTGAAAACTATGTCTGAAAGAGCTCTGAAGAAAATATGCCAAAGGACGAAGTGGCTAAACGAGGGCTACCTGAAGGGTGGGGAGGGGTGGGGGTGAAGGGAGCACAACAAAGAGTTCCCGAAGGTTGCAATCCTGGAACAAACTCTTATAAGAACAAGTGCAGCAGCTAACCAGACCCTGAGGTAAGTGCTTTGCACTCATGACCTCTTTATTCTTTCGCATCTTTATGGCAGATACCATACTGTTGGTAGAAGGTAGACAGAAATGAGGAAATGTTATTGGAAGCAGAGGTAAGTGCCAAGTTTCAGTCAGGAAACGTAAGTTCACAATTCACTGGTTCCTACGCCCCAATTCCCACAGGGCAACGGGAAGAGGACCAGGTGGCCTTGGCCAACACAGCCGACACAGCATCACCTTGGAGGACCCCCAGCCCTAGGGAACCTGGATGTTTTATAATGGACATTGAACATGCCTACCCCTCCGCTTCACAGGGCACAGCTGGGGAAGAAAACAGGAACCTGGGCGGTCAGACACAGGTAAGAGCCTGTAACAGGTTGGTTTTCATTCTGTCCGAATTAAGAAGCATTTAAGTTTCTAAGGCAGGGAAGTGTGACACAATTCCATCTTCCCCTGGGGAAGTCTCCCTGCAGGAGAGTGGGGAGAAAGGAATGCTGGGGAAGGAAGGGAGGACTACAATAACACAAGTGAGAACAGGTCACACCCTGGGCCGAGGCGGAGACCGGTGGTGGAAAGGAACACAAGATGGCGAGTATTATTGCTTGCAGTGCTGTTCAGGGTTGGGGATGTTAACCTACTCAGAAGCTAACGCCTCCGCCTACCAGTTTCCCAGATGCGGGCAGGAGACATGAAACTCCTGGGTCAAGGACAAATGGGGGTTTTTGAACAAATCAAGAGCACTAGCCACGGTGCCAGCATTTGCGCCAATTCCTCTGAGTAGCAGTTCCCGCAGGACATGGCAAAGAGGGCTCACACCGTGAACTCCGCTACAAGGGAGGACCCCTGAACTTATGGAGCCCAAATGGCTTTTTCAGGGGCATGTACCTTCCAGGGCTTCTTACTATCCAAACATCTTTGAAAAGACAGACCAGAACAAAGGCAGTCAGTACCTCAGCGTGCAAGCAGCACAGAAACACGAGCGCTCTATGGAGAACTGTTTCCCAGCACACACACTTCACTCCCGAGAAAACCAAGCTTAAAATGAGCCAGGGTGACATAGCTAGAAAGTAATGGAGTGAGGGTCAAACCCAGACCTTAGGATGCCAAGTCTCCCTATCTTCCACAAGTCAAAACCCTATGTCAGATGTGGCCGCTTCTGCTCGGGGAAGGGGGAATGGGAGTGATACATACATCTGTCCTCCAGGCTTCCTGGAAGGTTGTCAGCTCGCCCAGGTGAAAAACGAGGAACATACTTGGGGCTGGTAACGCTGCCGAGCTATGAGGATGGAAGCTCTCCTTGTGCTCTAGGTATCAAAATTCAAATAGAACTGACAAGGCTGTTGTAGAAGGCAACACGGGTGTGTCTCCATGAGGTGGGGCTGGGACCCATTCCCAAACCCTTTGTATCCACCCAAATCCTAAGTCCACCCTGCAAAATTTTAAGTGTTATAGGATGTGGCCTTCAGAAGGGTGAGTAAAAGTTTGTATGTTACTACTTGGCCTTTATTTCCTAAAATTAGAGCCCCGATGCACAAAAATTTGTGCACTGGCAGGGGGTGGGGGCAGTGTCCCTCAGCCAGACCTGTGCCCTCTCACAGTCTGGGACCCCTCGGGAGATAACCACCTGCTGGCTTAGGCCGGCTCCCCAGGTGGCAGATGACAGGCCCAGATCCTGCGCTGGGTCACAGATGGTAGGCCCTCTGCCGTGCTGCCCCGCCCCACTGCCCGCTGCACACGGCAGGCCCAGTGGGCGGCGGGGCAGGGCGCAGGGGGTGCGGATCGCAATTTGCCGTGCCTCACCCCGCCAGCTGCGGGCCGCACACATGGACGGCAGGCCTTGAGGGCGGCGGGTGGGGCATGGGGCAGGCCAATTGCACACAGACTACAGGCCTGGCAGGCGGCAGAGTGGGCCGCTGGGCCACGCACACAGACTGCAGGCCCCACCGGCCCCCACGGATGGCAGGCAGGCGGCATCTGGGGTTGCACACAGGTCCCTGGATGGCGGCTCGAGCTGGCGGCTCACGCTGTCCCACCCTGCCTGCAGTATGTAAATTAGCCACCATCTTTGTTGGAGGTTAATTTGCATATCATGCTGATTAACCAATGGGAGGCGTAGCGAAGGTATGGTCAATTACCATGTTTGTCTATTATTAGATAGGATGGCTTGCAGAGGTATGCATTAAAATAACTTCCCATATAAAAATGATCTCTATTATCTGTGCATTGAACTAGATAACACTTCACAATATAAAAGAAAGTAAAGAAACTGGAAATATTTGGTTGGCAGCACTTCATTTTGATAACAAATATACTGGTTTCCAGAGTCAATGGTAAATGCAGACAATTACTTACAAATGAGGGTTAATTATTTTGCACATGAGTGAGCAAGCTTCTTCATCCATTAGCATAAGCGAAGAAATGGATGACTTGGCTTCAAGGATGCAGTAACAGAGATTAGGCAACTGCAAGTCTTTTGGGCTCCTTGGGCCAGTGAAGAGGGAACCCTGCCCTGGTCGGGCGCCTCAGTTGGTTAGAGTATCGTCACATACACCAAAAGTTATGGGTTTGATTCCCTAGGTCAGGGCACAAACCTAGGATGCAGGTTCAATCCCAGGTAGAGGTGCATACAGGATGTTTCTCACATCATTGTTTCCCTGTCTCTGTCTGTCTGGCTGGCTCTCACTATCTCTGTTCCCCTCCTTTCTAAAAATCATTACACATATCCTCGAATGAGGATAAAAAATAAAAATATAAAAAGAGTGGGCCCTGGACTGGTTTCTTGGCCCAGTCTGCATGGTCCCCAGGCACCCGAGCAGTCCTTGTCAGACTGAGAAAACATCTCCCTGGGCAAGGAGCTCCCAGCCCCAAACCTCACCACCCTCACCACCACCAGGCTCCTCCTCAAGTGGTGCAAGGCACACGTGGTGCTAACAGCAGGTCTGAACCCATTCAACTTAAAAGATCGCCCATCTTACATGCCACTTAGTGAAACCTTTGGGTGACTGCCCAACGCACAGCAAGCGCCACACTGGACAACTCCCGGGAGCATCACACTCGCCCGAGGGAGCTGTGCAGTTCCCAGCCAGTGCAGCTATCCGCGGTGGCGCCCCCAGGGAGAGAGGGTCACTCCCTCAGATATCGCCCCATTAAAACCCACTTCCTGATCAATGGTTCACTTATGCCACGAATCTCTAGGTTCCAGAAGCCATCATGGATCTAAATTGGTGGCTTTTTAAATAATTTTCACATATTATGAAACAGATTAAAAATATAATTTAGAATTAGGTTCTGACTAAATGCCAGTAAGATTCGTGTTGGAAACTACAGAGTCGGGTTTCAACATCTTATCGTCTCTGTTCGAGCTCTGAGAGTCGTCTCTCCACCTAGACGCTTCATGTCAAGCCACAGAGACATTTAATCTTTTGATGGGAAGGAGCACCTATTGCATGTAACAGGTAAACACACGTTCACAGGTACATCACAAAGGAAAACACAGAAACTAAAAGTACTGTTCCGAACAAATGCTCTTCCTTGGCTTTGGTCGGTGCCGCAGGTGTTAATTATGAATGCTTCTCTAAATGCCCAAACCAGCTCGGAGGTGATCTCAGTGTCATTTCCCAATAGGCTGGTTAACTGATTGCTTGAAAACAAATTCATTCTGCAAACGTCAAAATGCAAACACATGCTCTGCCCTAGTCCCACTGCAGCAGAGCCACGTTGTTTCTGAGGCGGCTCCTCCTGCCGCTCCTTAGCCCTGGCCCGCTGCCTCGGCCAGGGCTGCCCCACCCGTCTGTTCTTTCGGGCCAGATGTCTGGCGATCTCTGCATCTTGTGCCGTCGGTGCCCGCCAGGGCTGGAGGCTCCCAGCCTTCTGGGCTGTCTCCCCGCCACCAGAACCCTGGAGGCTGTTGCCCTGCACTCTCCAAGTCAGCCACTCACAGATGCCCGTTGTACACCTGACCTCTGCCTCAGGACCCACACTTGCTGGTGCGAAGACGCCTCGGCTCCCTGGAGCATCCTGGCCAGTGCCACGGAGACAACGTGCCTGAGAAGCCCTCATCAGGTCTCAGAGACCCGAGGAGCCACCCACCCTTGCCTTCCTAACCCCATGACTTGCAGGTTAGGCCCAGGTGATTATGTTCTACCCGGGACACATCTGAACACACTTAACTGGCTGTGTATTCATTCAACTTTTACACGGTGCACCTGCGTCTGGCTTTGATTTGCCTTTACCCTACCTACAAGGTACTAAATTAGCCGGTTGCTACGGGCATACCTCGCTATCTCGTGCCTCTCTTTACTGCGCATCACAGATGTTGCGTGTTTTAACCCCTTCCCTGGCAGAAACGTGTATACACGTTCTCACAAAATGTTCTTTTTGTAGTCGTCGACGAGTATACTCGTCGACGACTACAAAAAGAACATTTTGTGAGAACGTGTATACACGTTTCTGCCAGGGAAGGGGTTAAAAGTGAAGGCAAGGCGCTCCACCAGCAAAACATTACGACTCGTTTTATCACGAGACTCGCTTTACTGTGGTGGTCTGGAACAAAACCTGTAATATCTCTGAGGTATGTCTGCATTCACAGAAGCTGGCAGAAGACACACAACTCCTGGGTCAGAGGCAAAGGACTTTATTATTCACAGCACAGCATGTTTGTGTCAGTCCTCCTGGCCCCCAGATTCTAACGGGGGTGGTGCTAAGGGGCCCCGGGTGGAAGCTGCACGCGCTGTTTTAAGTTTCCATCACAGCTGAGGAATCTGTGCTTAGGGAGCCTGCTGCTTCACCCTAAGCAGTGAGATTGCTCTTTGTCCCCAAGAGAGACATCACCTCATCCTTCAAGGTTGCTCGCTGCAAACATAACCCTAAGAAATGGCCCAGTAAAGAGCATTCTTGGCACACCTGGCAGGACACTAAAAAACACAAGAGACCTGTGCAGGAGTGTCTCCCCACAACCCCGGGTGTATTCCTGAACGGGGACGACCACCCTGATGCGGTTCCTAGTCCCAGCAGCTGCTCCACAGGAATTCCCTCTGCAGCCTTCGGGTCATGAATTGTAAAATCAGCAGCAAAGACCCCTCACAGGAAAGGTACTTTGAAACACCCATAATGTAATCGTTCCGTCCAATGGCACAGTCTGGGATCCCCCAAGCACATCTCCCTTCAATGCAGCCTTTGTATCTCCTCTCCTTTGTTTTATCCCCTCTACCTTTGAAACTTATCGTTGTTTAAAAATGTACTTTTAAAAAACTAATAAATGAATAGTGGACAGGATAGAAGCTGATCTCAATCTGGGCAAAACCGTAGTCCCAGAAATCTTCGTCAATACAGTTAAAGGAAGAGAAACCGCTTGTGATCGGTCAGAAGACAGAAAACAGTGAGGCAACGTTCCCCTTGGCACAGGCTCACACTCTGGAAGGCACTAACTTCAGAGAAGGAAGCAGCTTCCTCTCATTATAACGTCAATGACTGTCCAGACTTACACTTCTGACTTCCCATATACTGAAAACCGCTTAAGATGCCCGGTTGCTTAAAGTTCAACAGCCCACAAGCGCCATTTGTAACAAACACTTGTAAGCATGCAAATATGAACTAAATTAGAAAATCTGTAATTATCGCAGAATAAATTACATATTAATAAGTTAACCATCGTACTTGTGCATAACACATTTTTTGCAGAGGGGCCCAAATGGATATTAGTTTTGTTCCTAAGTGAAGAAAATTATTTTAGATTCGACTAACTTACAGTATTTCAATAATGATTGGATATCTACTCTACTTTAGGCATTTTCCCCAGCCATCTTCATATTATTTTTGTTGGAACTGTAATGCTCTCCATATACAACCATTTAAAAAACAAAACCCAGAAAGGACCCTCAAGGCAAGACATGAGACATGCTGACATTTGTGATATGGAAGCAGAGGGCTGGTCAGGTCAGCCGGGGTGGGCCTGGAGGACAGCTGCAGCTAAACGTGAGAGGAAGTTAAGGTCCAAAAGAGAGGGGCATCGAGCAGCTGCCCTGGCTAGGAATTTCTCAGACATCCAGTTGCCAAAGGAAAGCATGGAGATACAATCTCCGCCAGTGAGTGAAGGAGAACAGGAAACCGACAGAGCCTTGCATGAGTGGCAAGTTCTATCATGCAGACTGCACTTCCCTGACATGGGAAGTTGCGGTTCCTAGACACTGGCAACACCTTTCCTGGGTGATAATGAACCCAACGCCTGCATCTGTGCAGTGCTATCTACTCCGCACTGGATTACAAGGTCAGCATTCACTGAGCACTCACCCTCTCAGAGTTGTGCGTGTGTCGTCTCATTGAGTCTCTACAATTTTCCTAGAGGTAGGCTCGACTGTTGCCCATCTTTTGCCCGAAAGGAACAGTTCAGCGTGATGAAGTAATTGTTCATAGTTACACAGCTTAGAAGTATCAAGGCCAATATCGGACCCTAAGTAGTCTCTTAATCACCATCTTTTATGTTGCAATAGTCCAGTGATGGCGAACCTTTTGAGCTCGGCATGTCAGCATTTTTAAAAACTCCAACTTAGCTCTGGTGCCGTGTTACATATAGAAATATAGAATTTTTTTGATATTTGCAACCATAGTAAAACAAAGATTTATATTTTTGATGTTTATTTTATATATTTAAATGCCATTTAACAAAGAAAAAATCAACCAAAAAAATGAGTTCGCGTGTCACCTCTGACACGCGTGTCATAGGTTCGCCATCACTGCAATAGTCAATGCCTAGATTTGGGGGTGGGGGCAGGAAAGGTTAGAAATAAAGAACAACTCCCCCCCTTTTTTAAATATTACCTCGTACTATCTGGAGCTCATCAGTGCATAACAAACAACAAAATTAATTCCATGAGTGTATGCATTCAGTAATAAAAGAAACCAAATAGGACATATGTGAATTCATAGATTGTTCATCACCCCAGAATCTTCAAACATCTAATAGCTCGGTTAAGTGAAATACGAACAATATTAGAGATGACAAAGAATTTCAAATAATACCTATGCCATCAAGTTTAATCTATTCACCATGCAAAACTTCATGCGCAAATTAATTGGAAGCCTTTGCGTTTCTGCTAACTTGAAAGCCACATGTGGGATCCATATGAAGCAGTTTTCTGAGCCTGCTCATTCCAAAGCACAAGAGCAATACATAATAAATAACCTGAATACTTACTCAACATAAGCAAGGTTGATGTTAATCAAAATGACTGCGCCAAAACTGCTTCGTAGAACTACATGGCGTCAGAGTGCTGGGACCTGGAAACGGGCAACGGGCGTGCACACAGCCTTCAGACGCACAGGCCAAACACCGACTTCATCCTAGCTCGATGCATAAATGGTGAACAGATGCCTTCTCTCCTGTTGTCCCCTCTACACACTCTCCCCGTGCAGCGAGCCCGAGAATGACTGAGCCCACTGAGATGCTAAGCTCCCAGCATAGCAGCTGTTCCCTGCTTTATAAATTGGGAGCTTTGCTTAGAATTTTGCTTGGGGGTGGGGTGGGGGGAGATTGGAGAGGGAGGAAGATTAGGGAAGAGAGGTAAAAACTAGAAGGCTAAGTAATTTTTAAGGTCCCTTTCAACACATAAATTCTAAGATTATATAATCAGACTGCAAAAGACCAATTAAAAGGTAATTCTAATACGTGGGCACTAAAATGGCCCACAAGAACACTGAATTAAGTATTTGCATTTCTATTCAAAGTAATCATATATCATATATCCTTCATGAGCTGGTTAACCTTTTAGAGAGTGAGAAGGACATTTAGCTTTCCTAAAAGCAAAGAATCCTGTCTTCTAAATTTGGAATTGAAATCACAGAAAGAAGGGAGAGGAAAAGGGGGAAACTCAATAGAAAGAACACTTGAAATTTAAAAACTGCACTTGGGAGGTTCTTAACAATAATTAATGATCTGTTAGTGCCTCCAGCTAAAATGTAGTAATTTCATAGTTCAAAGAGTTTATTTCCTAATCTTTATCTAGGAACAAAAAAATACAATAATAGTCTTTCTTCCTGCTATGTCTTCTTAGATACTAAAAGTGATCTCCGGTTTTTATTTTTAACTTAAAAGAAAATTTCATTTAGTTTGCATATTTATAGTATGTACTGTGATAATGAAATTTCAGTCTTTTATGCAAATGAAATAGTTCTGAGGTGATATGGTAGATTTTCTATTCCCAAAGAGAACACATATATTCTTAACAACAACAAAAAATCCAAAGATATAGATCAACACATAATATACATGAAGGATATGTGATATTGATGTATACCCTTGGATTTTAAAATATATATTATCTAAATGAAACATTTGTTTCACAAAATAGAAAATATATTTCAATCTTTTAGTGACCCCAATCCTCTTATTTCTAAAATATTCTGCATTTTTTAAAACAATAAGTAAAACACTATTTTTGCAGCTTTTATACAATAGTGTTAAATCCTCACTGGAGAGCAACTTTAAAACTCTCAAAGCATCTACACTAATAAAAGAGAAAGATGGTAATTGGCATACGACCGCTACCCTTTTCATTGGCTAATCAGCGAGATATGCAAATTAACTGTCAGCCAAGATGGCGGCCGGGAGCCAGGCAGCTTGAAACTAACATGAGGCTTGCTTGCTTCAGTGACAGAGGAAATCAACATTCCCCACCTGCGGCTGCAGGCCTCTGAGCCTGCAGTTTGAACATTGTAACAAATACCGCGGGACTTCAGCCAGCAGGATTGCAACATTGTATGCAAAGGCCAGAAACCTACTTTCAGCCTCGGAGGCCTAAGAGCTGGAGCCAAGCCTCAAAGCTAAAGCTGGCCCAGAATAAAAAAAAAAAGACAAAGAAAAAAGGAGCAGTTGGGAGCTTCAGTCACCTCCAGCCTGAAAACAGCCCTCAGCCCCTCACCCAGACTGGCCAGGCACCCCAGTGGGGACCCCTACCCTGAAGGGTGTGTGACCAGCTGCCAACAGCCATCATCCCTCACCCAGGCTGACCAGGCACCCCAGTGGGGACCCCCACCCTGATCCAGGACACCCTTCAGCGCAAACCAGTCAGCCCCACCCATGTACCAGGCCTCTACCCTATATAGTAAAAGGGTAATATGCCTCCCAGCACCGGGAGCAGCGAAGCCGAGAGGCCTCCCGGCACTGGGATCAGCATGACAGGGGGCAGCGCCCAAACCCCCTGATCGCCCTGCGGCTCTGTGTGTGACAGGGGGTGGGGCCACAACCTCCCTATCCACCCTGCTCTGTTCATGACAGGGGCAGGTGCCCCAACCCCCTGATCAGCCCTGCTCTGTGCATGACAAGGGGCGGTGCCCCAACCCCCCAATCGGCCCTACCCTGATCGTGACTGAGGGTGGCATCACAACCTCCAAATCTCCCTGCTCTGTGCATGACAGGAGGCGGCGCCTCAACTCTCCAATCGGCCCTGCTCTGAGACCAACCAGGGGCTGTACCTAGGGATTGGGCCTGCCCTCTGCCACCCGGGAGCAGGCCTAAGCCAGCAGGTCATTATCTCCCGAGGGGTCCCAGACTGTGAGAGGGCACAGGCCGGGCTGAGGGACCCCCCCCCACCCCCGAGGGCAGAAATTTTTGTGCACCGGGCCTCTAGTACAGTAAAATATTAGGCATTATTAAATCTTGCAGACTCAGGAAAAAATGAAAATACCACATATAACTCTATCATCTAGCCATCTCTTCATTCAATTTATTCTTCCAAATACCAATAGATGAAGATGAAAGAAGTGGTATCAAAGAAACATTATTTTCCTTAGGATTCCAGTTATAAGATTTAAAAAAAAATACTAGAATTGGGGGTGGGGGCAGGCAGAGATTAAACAAAAAACTTATATGCATATATGCATAACCCATGGACACAGACAATAGTGTGGTGAAGGCCTGGGGAGGATGGAAGGAGTCAATGGGGGGGAAGAGGGGACATCTGTAATACTTTCAACAATAAAGATAAATTTTAAAAATAAATAAATAGAAGAATATAAAAGAAATACATAAATCAATATCTTAGGTAGCATTTCTCCCATGAGCTGCCATGCGGATACCAACAATAAACCAGGAGCTCAGAAAGTTCCCAACTACATTTCTCTGTGTACCGTAAGGTCATGTTGAGAAACATTTCGAGCTAGGAGTCAGGTGTTTTGAGTTTTTGTTTCCTAGTTACTTAAAACACTATAACTCTCCTTTTTCGAGTACAGGGTTTCTCTCAAATGCCTAACGCAGATTTATTGATTTTGGTTTTTGTTTTTGGTTGTGTGAAATTGATGTTTATTCACAAGGTATTTGTTCTGTATGTTGAAACACTTACCCTACTAGTAAATGCTATCTGGAGGGGGGAAATGCCAGTAAAGTCAGAAAAAAACACTTAAAAGGTAGTGATGGCAAAGTACATTTTTCCTTTACAAACATAAGTAACTGAGGTTTGCTAAATTCAAATCCTTGTAAGTGAACTGAATCTTTAAAATGTTTTCTTTTTGGTTGTTTTTTCTGGGGCATTTGTTCATGGCTCTTAGAGCATTTGACTAAGAGTCTCCACTTTTACTACAACTGAACCAAAAGAAAGTATTATTGGGATTGTGGTGAATTTCTTCTCCTTAAAGAAAGGTGTATTGATGTTGCTGATTTGTTTTTACAATAGAAAAACATAAATGAAATGTCCTATTCTAAAAAATGCACCAAATGAAAGGACTCATTCGAAAATTGAACATAATCAATACTAACTTGAAGAGGAAAGGAAGGAGCAGAGAATAAAAGCCACTGAGATTTCCTAAGTATTTATTTATATTAATTTTAGAGAAGGAGGAAGAGGGAGGGAGGGTTGGCGGGGGGAGGAATATAGATGTGAGAAAGACTCACTGAATCCACAAAGTAGGCATGTGCCCTGACTGGGAATCAAACCTGAGACCACCCAGTGCACAGATGCTCCAATCAAGTGAGCCACACGGGCCAGGGTGATTTCCTAAGTATTTAAGGTGGACTTCCTGTTAGCCTGAGATATAATTTTCTGAAGTATTTTCCTTTCTATACCTAAAATGCAGCTAACTACTCACTGGGCCTGGGATTAGCAACGTTTCAGAAATGGGGGATGCCCTTCTTTTTTCCTGACAGGAAACAGAACCTGGAGGAGGCAAAAATTTCAACACGTCCCCCAAGCACTTTACCTCTAGAGACATCTCACTAATAGGTTTCAGCTTATAAATGCATGTCTCCCTGCGAATTACTTAAAAGCAGTGTTTCCCAAAGTATGATTCCCTGGCAACCTGGGAGCTAGAGGAGACAATTTTAGAATATAGCATTAAATAACTTTGAATAAGGAAGTCATGTCCGGTTCTCTCTTTTAATCCTCTGTTCTAGTCAGGGATGAAGTCTCCATTAACAAACGCTGCGCCCTTGTTAATCTCCATGGTAACAAAGGAAAATCCGCCTGGCACCAATAGCTACCTAGAAGGTAATAAGCCATATTATTGTTATTGTATGCATTAGAACAGTAATATTTTTCAAGTTTCCTTTTAAAAGAAATGTATTTAAGCTTTAAAAATGAAGTCAATTTAAAAGAAAATAAGTTTGAAGTGATCTAGATCCTTGCAGCTCAAAATGAGATCAGTGGACCAGCAGCTACTGGTGGGGGGCTTATTAAAGGTGCCCGATCTTTGGCCTCTCTCACACCTACCGAATCAGAATCTCTGTCTTCAACAAGATCTGAAGAACTCTGTGGTGGCACAAGAGTTTGTCCCAAACCATGAGGGCAGTTGCCAAATGACTGAGCTCTGAGATGCCTCACTGCTTCAGATCATCAGGTGGCTATCCTCCAGACACTCCCCAAAATCAGGGTGAGGAGGCCAGGACAAAAAGGAAACTTGAGTGCTTTGTCAATGGTCAGCTGCAAACAATCAATGGATTTTGAGATCAATGAGTGAATCTAAACCAGCATGTTGGGGGTTTAAGTGATGGATAAGCTAAAATTACTTTAGATATATTCCTAAAATATCCTGTCATGACACATATATCATTCGTTTTACCAACAAATACTATAGTGAAATTCTACTCAGCCCTCCCCTTCATCCTTCCACCTTCTAGGGCTGGGGTTTTCTGCACACTTTCTGCATGAGAATGAGTGACAAGGCTCCTTGCACCAACTCAGTTAACGTGCCCTGGCTTTTTCTCCCAGAGTTGAATGCAGTGAGAGAGATTATGCTTGGAAATAGGACAACCTAGGTCTCCTGTGTCAGGTGATAGTAGTGGAGTCAAAGGAGCACAGCGCTCTGTGCATCTCATTAATGCCCCGGGGAGAATCCAGGCAGCCACTCATTTACCAAGGTGGGTGACTCACTCAGTCAATGATCCAGCTAGGTCAGCCAAAATCCTGGCTGTGCATCAACGAGAAGGACACACAGTCACTGACTTGATAAAACCCTTTGAAACCTAAGGAATTTCAAATACACAGAGTAAAGCAATGACCAAAATACATAGGACTTATGATATCATAGAAGCTAAAAATATATGGTTACAGCCATCTAGATATTTCCAGAATATCCAGGTTTAACAAATGTTAATAAAATGCTTCCCAGTACAAAACATTAATATGAAACAGTTTGGTTTTGCAAAAAAAAGTGAAGAAGAGTGTATCAAACTGGGTAAAGAAAAATGGGAAAATTAACAACAAACAATAGATGCAAACTCAGAGGTTGGTGTCCATGATAAGAATCACATGCCACTCATTTCGAAGAAAAGAACATTGTGAACATATGTTAGATCTTTTTCCCTTTAGTTACCTTGAGAATGTACTTATGTAAGCAGAACATTACAGAGAACAAATCTTGCCTAATAATAGACAAACATGGTAATTGACCATACCTACGCTACACCTCCCATTGACTAATCAGAGAGATATGCAAGTTAACTGCCAGCAAAGATGGTGGAAGGCAGCCACAGAGCTGGAACAAGCAGGAGGCTTGCTTGCTCCAGTGATGGAGGAAGCCAAGGTTCCCCGCCTGCTGGGCCTGCTCTAAGCTACACTCAAAGCAACAAAGTTTCAATTATAGAAGCTAAACAAACCCCAGATACCTGCTTTCAGCCAGCTGTGGCCACAGAGCTGGAGCCTTGG